CGAAATTTGTCGCGAGCCGATTCCAAATGCACCAAAACCATCTTCTGGATGAACCAAGCTCCAAGAGCTTGGTTCGTCCAGTCTTCCGGCATGCCTAGAACGACTCGAAATTTGTCGCCCAAATACTCAAGACACTGATCACCAGTGTACAAGCTATACATCTTGAAACTACGCAAAAGAAGCTCAACGCGATCTGTTAGGAAGGTGTTTTCGTAATCTTGCATCATGATGTTGTCAAAAATCTCCCTGTCGGAAGCACCGATGAGAGCCTTCAGGATAAGCATGATCGGTATCACATATTCTTGTTTTCTCCAGCTGAATCGTAGCATTGCGCTTCCGTTTGAGAGATAGTGGAGAGTATTTGTAACGCTGGATTGATCGGGGCGAACGCAGCGAATTTGTACTGCATACTGCGTGTACGAAGGACCACGGTTAGCGAAAGATGGGCGAAGCAGCGAAGTGACATGGTTTCGTCGGGGAAGGATAAGATAGCGAATTAACCGTTCGTTCCCATTGATGATGAAATAACCACCAAATTCTTCAGGCTCTTCATGTCGCCTCACAAGGTCTGCAGAAGGTAGACTACGAATATTGCACCGAACAGACTAGTAATAGTAGTCAGTTTATCGTCCAAACGTACATATGATTGGTGCTCACCCGGACCATGATTGGAACTAGACCACAGTCCCGCATTACAAATTGATCGGGATGAATGTTCCCGTTAATGCTCCAACAGACCTTTGCTTGCATACGCCCCCGATAAGAGGTCAGGCGCTCGCGAGCCTGTCGTGTGCGTCAGCTTTAGAGCATTCATCTTCCACCCCGTAGAACTTGGGTTCAGGTTACGTTCGATGGAAGCAGCTTACCTCTGTAGGAAATATCTTGCGCTCAGTACTCCATGTATCTCTGTCTGGAACCCTAGGAGGAGCTATAGATACCTCTTCTATCCATACTATTCCATAGATGAACACTGTATGCAAATGAAAGTCACATGCATCACTCACTGCTCAGTCGATTGCCCCAACCACGCTGACCACTCTCTGTCCCAAGCTCGCCGCTGCCATCAAACACGACGCGTTCGCCTATGTCCTTCAGACCTAAAGACAATAGTCCTCGACCGTCTCCGTCTCCCTTTGGCAGTCCAGAATCATCGAAGAGGGCGTTGAAAGATTCGATATGAGGCGTGACAAATTCATTGAGGATCGGACATGTTGAACCTGTTTTTGATGGATTTTTGAATGATTCTTCGCGCTGAATGGTGTTAAAAGTAGGCTGCCGCCTGGACTTCTGTGAGCCGTCGGGCATAATATCTGAACTACTTCCCCTGGCTTTCCTTAGTCTACTGGCCAAAATTTTGGCTGAATAAGGTTAGTTATTGTGAGAAAATACTTCTAAATGTGCGCATGTCGGACCTTCGATATTATGAACTCCGCATCCTACTCCTGATGTCGACAGCACCAGTGACAAACGACTGCAGGCTCTTTCTTCAGATATGTTCGGAAGCAACACAGTGCAATCTTCCTGGGCAAATCCTCAACAGAATCAGAGCCAACAGCAGAGTTCTGGTTTTGGCCAGCCTAGCGGCTTCGGAGCCGGAACAGGTAAGCAAGTCATTTGTCTGTCCAGCATTTTACGCACCTATTAATCGCCGAACAGGCTTTGGATCAACAGGTGCTTTTGGCCAGCCCCAACAGCCACAGACCAACCCAATGTTTGGCAATTTGGCGAATCCAAGTACGGGAACTTCAGCATTTGGTGGGTCCTATCGCATTTCTATTGTATTCCTTGTGACTGAATCACATTCTATGCAGGCGGATTTGGTCAGAATCCTCCACAACCAGCTGCGAGCACCTCAGCATTCGGAGCTCCAAAGCCTGCCACGGGCTTATTTGGAGGGGCAGGCACCTCGGCTTTCGGAAGCGGCGGCAACACTTTTGGCTCAACAGCTGGGACAGGGACTACAGTTTTCGGATCCAATGCTACCACTGGTGGTGCGTTTAGTTCTTTTGGACAGAATAGAGCCACCACTGGCTTTGGTGTTACCTCGCCAAGTAAGTGCCCTTTTCTTTGAGATCGTTCAAAGGAGCTCACGCTTGTCTTTAGCCACTGGCAATGACACCACTGCACCTGTCACAACAGGCACATCGAATCCTCCCTACAGTTCGTTCAGTGAAAAGGACCCAACTTCAACGTCCACCCTGCAATATCAAACAATAACGGCTATGCCCGCCTATCGAGGGACGTCGCTTGAGGTGAGTGATGATCAGCTTCAAGTATTGTTTCCTCGCTTAATAGTCTTGAAATCTTATTCAGGAGCTTCGTTATCAAGATTATCAACAGGGGCGGAAAACCGCAGGGGCATTCGGCCAGCCATCCTTTAGTGGCACAGCAACTACTCAACCAACGAATTTATTTGGAGGCGCCCCCCCTACGCAACCCGCCAGCACATCTATATTCGGCGGTAGCGCCGGTGCGGGGACAGGTGCGTTCGGAAACACGGGAACAACAGGAAATGCTGGCACTGGCTTTGGAACTTTCGCACAACCACAACCCGCGCAACCCGCGACAGGTACTGGAACGGGTGTATTTGGGTCAACCTTTGGTCAACCTCAACAACAGCAGCAACAACAGCAACAACAACAACCTTCAGCTTTCAGTTCCTTTGGGCAACCACAGCAGCCAGCCCCAGCTGGGACAAGCATTTTTGGTGGTACATTTGGGCAGCAGAACAAGCCCGCCACTGGCTTCGGAAGTGGTGCCTTCGGGTCAACAAGTAGGACTCTAACTGCTGTCGATCTCATACATTCTCACATTCTTAAACAGCAGGTGGCGCGTTCGGTTCCACAGGGACCTTTGGACAGCCAGCTGGCCAGCCTACTGCAGGCACCACAGGCATTTTTGGCCAGCCCCAACAGCAACCTGCGGCTGGGAGTACATTTGGTGGTTTTGGTACATTTACATTACAACATTCACGTTCTATGAACAATACTAACTTTATCACTTCAAGGTTCGAACACGGCTGCCAAACCATCGATATTTGGTCAGCCTGCTCAGACTGGCACAACGTCCACCAGCTTTGGTGCATTTGGCAATCAACAGCAGCAGCAGCAGCCGCAACAACCTCAGCAGCAACCTCAGCAGCCGCAAGCGGGTGGTCTATTCGGCAATCCGGGCGGTGGCCTGTTTGGCCAGCCCCAACAGCAGCAGCAACCTCAACAGACTGGGTGTAAGTTTTTTTCTCTTCACTAGTTAACGTTAGTGATCATGTCGCGAATAGTATTCGGTTCCACCCCAGCCCAACCTCAAGGTAGCATATTTGGAGCTCCGACAACGGGCGGAGGTTTATTTGGGAATGTCCAACAAAATCAGCAGCAGGCCCAACAACCCGCTCAACAGGGTGGGCTTTTTGCGCCAAAACCAGCCGCTGGCGGGGGGTTATTTGGAAATACGTTTGGTCAGACGGGCACGACGGGAACAATTGGCTCGCAACCCCAAACAAATCTTTTCGGGCAGCCTGCAGGTCAAATAACGAACCAGCAATCAGCAGCTGGAACGAACGCGTTGGGTGCATCATTGTTTGGCCCCAAACCTGCTGCACCGGGGCTTGGCACCTCGACATCAACAGGTGGCTCATTATTTGGAAATGGACAATCATTGTCTAGTCTAAATGCCTCTGCTACTGTTCCTGGAGCACAGGGAACTCTGTTCGCCTCCATTGCCGAACCTCTTTCTCAGAACCTGCCAATCTTCTCGATGCTTCCTCCTGGCCCGCGTGCCGTAGACCTTGACCAACAACCCAAGAAGAAACCCGGCTTTTTCGTCGATGTCCCTACACGTTCACCTGTTCCATATCTGCAGCTCGGCTATACCCCAGCTAATTCGAAGCTGCGAGGTTTTGCGACATCAACGTCGGGGGCTGCCCTCGGGTCCAATGCGAGTCCCTTTGCCACTTCATTGACGAACGGGAAATCCAATGCATTGGCACTTAGTCGCCTCGATGGGAAGGGTCCTGATGGATTGTTGGGGCGAAGCTCCAGTCCATCTCTAGGCAGTGGCGGGCGTCAAAGCGTGAAGAAATTGATACTGGACAAGAAAGTTGAGCCAGCAGACCTCTTCAGTCAATCTGGTTCGCGCGCTAGTCCCGGCAGAGTAACGTTCAGCCCTGCCCTGAGCCAGGCTGCACGCGAAAAGGAAGTTGCAAGAGAGAAAGAAGCCGCCGTCAGTGCAGCACCTGCCGCTTCTCAAGTGGAGACCTCAACGCTCATTTCTCGCAAAGTTCCTGGTCGCTTTTCTGCACAGAGCACCATCAACGTGTTGGGCTCCCAACCAGCCTCGCCTGAAAAAGAACCACCAGCACCAGCAGCATTGCAGCATGGTAGCTACTGGGTGAAGCCTGACCTCCCGACCCTTGTCAATCTTGGTTACGAGGACCTAGTGGCATTCAAGAACCTTGTCGTTGGGCGCGTCGGCTACGGCGAGATCCAATTCCTGGAGCCAGTTGACCTCACTAATCTTCCAAGACTTGGCGCTCTTCTAGGCGAGATCGTCAAGTTTGACGATAAAGAGTGCAGCGTTTACCCGGACACTGATGATGCAGACAAGCCTGCACCGGGCTCAGGGCTCAACGTCCGCGCGCGCATTGTTCTTGTCAGATGCTGGGCGACGGATAAAGCGACCCGCGAGCCCATCAAGAACGAGAAAGATCCTGGTGCAGTCAAGCACCTGAAGCGGCTGAAGACGATCAAGGAGACTCATTTTGAGGACTTTGATATTCGGGAGGGAAAATGGACATTCAGTGTGGATCATTTCTGAGCATGGCTCTCGTTGCTTCTTGAGGTGTTGGTTCTCAGTCGACATACCTGTGCGGTGCAGTAGTATCCCTTTCCATGTGTTGTCTATATGCCAAAAGTGCTGTTCTTAGTTAGGTGCAGTTGGGAATACTTTGTATGCAAGTAGATAGCTTTGAATATTTGAATAATACCAAGTTAACGCCTGCAGATAATGATGATGTCACCTTGCGCCTGACAAGTTAAGGCGCGACAGGCTGAAATTACCAGCATTCCAACCAAGTTAACGACTCCCATCATTGTACATGTTGAATGCAAGCACAGGTAGTACAGTACTCGAAATCATGCTGACCAAATTTGACAGATGCCTGCAAACAAGCTTGAGGGGCAAAACGCGGCCGTCGTGCGCGGTGCCATAGAGGGCGCACTCACAGGCTCAGCAATCGTAGCACCGACATGGTACCTGCTGAATCGCAGATCACCCGCTTTTCGTGCCCTGCCTCCTACGCTGAAGACACTGGGTGCCGTCGTCATTGTAGTGCCCTTGATTTTCATTAGGGCGGAGCACCGTGGGCTGGACTTTCATCGCCAGCATTGGTATGTCGGGCGTTTTGTTTTGAGGCATTATCTAAGTTGGACTGATATAGGACGGGTATTGGAAAGACGGAGCTGGAGAAGGAGCGAGAGGAGGAGCAGAGGAGGTGGGCTTCGTTGACCCCGAAGGACAAATTAGCGGAGTGGACAGCGAAGCACCAGCTCAGCGTTATCGTTGGCAGCTGGGCCCTCACTATGGGTCTTGTCGGAAACAAAGTCATGCGTGACCCGTGCGTCTTCCTTTTGCAGTGTGGTTCGAACTGAGATGACCACTGAGATGACAGCTTGATCTCTATGCCAAACAAAGTATGATGAACTTTTGTTGCTTTGGTCACTGCTTGTTTTCGTGCTGAAACCTGTTTGTATCATTGTATCAGATTGTTCAAGTGCGTCTCTGGGCTCAGGGACTTACTATTGGCGTCATCATCGCGGCAGCCGCTCTGACACACTCCCAGCGCGCACAGGCGGCTAATATGAGGAAGGTGTGCTTCTTCGCTTCTTTCCCCATGTTCCATTATCGGGCCTTCTGACGCTCCATTAGCACTCCCCAGATCATACTTGGGTTTACCTGGCATGAATTTACACTTTTCATTTTTCATGTTGTGCTGACTTTAGTCCTAGCTGGATGAACAGCGCCTTGAGAAGGAACGTGCACAAAAGGCTTAGTACTTGCCCTATTCGTGGTTTGTTTGCATCCTGAAGTGTTCATCTTGAAATTTTTGTTGTATCAATACGCATCCCATGACCTGTACAGAAGGCCTGACGTCAGCGCAGTCAATCAATTGTTTTAATTTCAATCCAGATTCTTGCTTATCGGAATTCACGCTGGACCTGGAATAAACATGAAAGGCTCTATTATTTCCCAAGGAACTGTGATAGATATAGCGACAGACGAGGCAGGTTCATGGGTGACAGACAAAAATATCATGAGGATATAAACATGATGTACGCCAAGAGGTATCAAGGCCGACATAAAGTCGATCCATGTCTTTATGCTCCATAGAAACGCCATGCAAAGTAAGCTCCCAGTAGGGTCAATGGGATAAAGTACATCAGGCTGCAGGAGAGGTCAGTTGTGAAGTGAATGGGCGTGCAGGGAAACCTACTTTGACCCTTGCTCAACGGCATCAGAGACCGAAGCGCCGGAGCCAGAGGTCTTGGTATCACTGATTTTCAGAGCCTGATAAACGGGGTTAGCATGGTTTCAAATCGGAATTGCGGTGCATCTTACGCCATCCTTCTCAAAACTGCCGACGAGGAGGGGAGGGAGGAGGTCACGGGCCTCGTCAGAGTGACCAACATCTTCGAAAGCCTGGGTTGCATCTTTACCTGTAGACGGTATATGTTTGGCTTGGGATTAGCCACCCAAGTTCAAGGGACACATACCAGCTTCAGCCAAGATCACGTCGTCGCCTCCTGGGTGCTATGATGAAGGGCCATGGTCAGGGAATGATAGTTCGGTATCCATCTGCAGTTGCATACCTCGTCGACGAACTTAGTCACATCATACACTGTTCAACACGTCAACACGTAGACAGGGTTGGACGAACTTCCTTGAACTTGCCTTCTCCGTGGATAAGAACATAGAGGCTGTCCTTAGTAGAGTGTGCCTTGAGCTCTTCGTACGTGACGACCTTGGCCATTGCAAGTCCTGTTAGTTGGAAACGAGAATGTTGGCGGTGACAGGAATGACTACGAAGCAAACAGGAAGTAAGTGTTTCAATGGCATAAAAAGCCCACTCGACTAACGTGGGAGTCGGGAAACCTATCTTCTCACACGAATCAGAATCTCACGATTTCTCGCAAAAGTATTGACTAACCCGAGTTGCAAATTGCATGTCTTAGACTGCCAATCCTACACCAATCGAGATATTTCTTTTTTTCGAGTAATTGATTTGTACTTTCGTAACGAGTTTTTGTCAACAACATATTGCCTGCATCACGGACGATAACGCGTAATTACATGACAGGTCGTGTAAGAAATGTATATCCGCTTCAGTTTAGTACTCGAATGACCACATTTGTTACTGTCTAAACAGCCGGACATTCAAGCGTGGAACCGAGCACGCTCATAGCTGTATCTTCCACATCATCAGTATAGGGACGAAAGCACTGTGAGCCATGTCCCTAGGCATTGGCGAGTGGAGGTTGTACATGAAACAAGACTCGATCTGAGTCTACACCAAGTCACTTCAACGATGCCAGTATGATTTGGCGTAAACCCTGATCGGAATCCTCTGCGAATCGAATACGAATGAGGAACAAGGACAGCGTTGGCGGCGGTAGTACGTGTTGATGTTGATGAAGACCGCTGTGTGGCGCTGATGCAGCGAGGACTCGGACAACAACTTGGGTTACTATGTAACAGGAAAATTTAACGCGATCAAGTTTTAGATCTCCGCTTTACTCCGCACTCGGGCCGTGCCGAGGAGTGTGGGACACCTTTCTTGACCGCTCCTTCAACTCTCCCGCAAGCATGGCTTATGACGACGAGCACGCTGACATTCTCGGCGGCCCCATCTTGCAGATACCAAATACCGGTATACTGGGACAATGGTCCCAGTACTCGACTCTGTTCCGAGCTAGTCTCATCCTAGCACTTGGCCTATTGGTATCACTCATCTCATTACGCGCCTGGGACATATGGAAAAAAAATCAGGAATTGGGCTACAGAAAGTGCGTCATTCTTTTCAAATCTTTTGACCTCCTTCTCATGACACCTATGACAATCAGAGCGATGCGTCGCAAACATGGAATCCCAGACTCAGACTGTCGTCCCTTTGCTGTAGCATATGCTGCGGCCACCCGGGCGCGCGCTGAACGTGAGGCTCAGGACAGACTACAAGCCAATAACGTCACGGAAGAGCCCCCGGCGATAAATAACCAGGTTCCGTTGCCAGACGCGCATGGATTGAGGCGAAGGGCGGCCGGATCTGGTGTGTGGAACTTTTCCGTGTCTTGTTGTCTCGATCTGATCGGTATGTAGTTACGAAGCCACATGTTAATCAACTCCCTGCAACAAGGCGTGCCATATCTGGCTTTGATGACAAGCCCAACGGATTTGACTATGCGCACCGATATAATCCCCGCCTTCGGGATGGCCTCCTTCCTCTCTCGCGCGAGCTCCTAACGCCTACAAAGCGTTCTTATCGTCGTGCTAGCAGAAAGGATCTCGTTTTCGACATGAATATCGCGGTGGAAGCCAAGAAACGAGCTTATGATCATGAGGGCAATCATGAGCCTGCAACATCAAAGAAGTCTCGTGTTGATAGTCATGATCTCATTGACGGTGACGAGGAACTTGAACTACTCGAGGAAGAGGACGAGCTAGAGCCTGCTCAGCGGGGATCAAAACGGACTTTTGACTCGGATGAGGAAGTTGATTATATGCGTACCGATGGTCGTGACAAACGCCCTCGGAATATGTCGCGGGCTCAGACACCTGAAGACCAGGAAATGGAAGATGTGGAGGACGATGTCGCTGAATTGCACCCAATTCCTCGTGGGAAGAAGCGTGATCGTGCTGAGGCTGGCTCGACTTTTGGTGGTGATGAAGAAGCAGAAGAGGCATTAGATGATCAAAATGACAGGTCTCATCGTCATCGCAAGCGTCGCACGGTCCATTCAAAGAAATCGGATGGTAGGAAGCGAGATCGTGATCCTGAATCCCCGACAAGCGATGGCAGTACTGGAGGTTCTCATAGGCACAGCGTACCCACCAAGAAGAAGAAAGGGACCAAGAAAGCTTCTTCCGTGGCAGCTAGTGATACTTTAGACGGCTCGCAGGATCCCCTCTGCAAAGGTAGAAAGATCGGTGAGGAGTGGGAATCAAATGGTGTACAATACAAGGTCGGGAACGAAGGCGAGCGGCTTCGTCTCACTTTGGTGAAAAAGGCTCGGAGCAAATATTCGATGGTAGGTTGTGGTCCCTTTGTTAATATGTTTGTGGAGCTAATCGAACCACAGCCCAGGGACTCTCAGCACCCAGATCGGCAGGCTAATATGGAGATCTACGTGGAAACTTGGCTGACAGATGAACAATACAAAGACGCTGAGGAACGGCAGGAACTTGTGTGGCAAGAGACGCCTAGAGCCTCCATTGAGCCTAGCCCCCCCGGTGAAGTTCCTGTATCACCATCGAAGACGGGCAAGGACCTGCTCTGGGATTCGATGAGGAACAGTCCTGTTTCTAGTCGTGCCTCTCGCCAGTCATTAACCAATGGCTCAGCCCGGGTAAATCCATTTAAGCAGCCTTTACCGCAGGCTACAACTGGTCGACGTGTTGCCTCTTCAAATGTTCATACTCCATCAATTCCTGGTGTGGCCGAGGGTCCATCTCGCCCGGGGTTTCGTGCATTCTCAAAATGGGAGAAGCAGGATCTTGAGGCTGAGGCGATGGCGAGGATGCGTGCACGGATGCTGGAGCAGAAGAAAGGGGAGACCCCGCAATCAAAGGCCTTTGAGCTTCCGACCAGCGCCACGGCGCCTGAGCTAGGCCCTAAAGCTCCGGCAGTGCCCATCATTACATTCACTCCGCCACCCCCTGCTGCATCCATGTCTGACAGCACGGAGACAAAGTCGACACCATCATTATTTTCATTTGGTAATACCTCGACGCGTACAGACGCCTCGAAGTGCACTGCTCCTACTGCGTCTCCCACACCAACAAGTGTTACGCCTGTGGCCTCAGCTCCTGTTGCCAATAAACCCAGCCTATTCCCTACCTCGTCTACTCCACAAATAACCCCTGCAGTGCCGACATCTTCATTCAGTCTGCCTACGATACAACCTACCACCACCACCAGCGCACCTACCACGTCATCTGCACCCTCCATACCGGACTTTTTCGCCAAGCCAATTGCACCGTCGACGCCTGCACCTGCAGCAACTGCAGCTCCTTCGTTTTCTTTTGGTCCCACGCCTGCACAGCCGCTGTTCGCTGCACCTACTTCCACATCCACCAATCCCTTCTCTGCACCAGCAGCATCAAGCACGGAAACCGGCAAACCAGCACCATTCCCCTTCGCAAAACCCAGTGTACTACCTTCCTCGACGCCAACATCTACATCGACACAAGCTAACCCACCATCGATATTTGGTACCACTTCGAGCAACGCCGCCCCAACTTCTGCCCCATCCGCACCTGCACCGCTGAAGTTTGACTTTGGCAAGAAACCTGCGAGCACGATCTCAAAGCCTACTGCTGCACCTCCCCCTACCGCAACTGTTGCCGACGCCACAAAACAGACTAGCCCATTATTCGCGTTTTCGGCGGCTGCTCCCCAATCCAGTCCCCTGGGAGCGAGCTCGCTGCCAAAGTTCTCGTTTGGTCAGCCCTCGTCGGCATCAGTATTTGGTTCTGGTAGCAATGCCACTACTGCATCAAAACCTGCCGAGACCTCAGAAGCGTCCAAGCCCAAAGGAGCAGAGACTGAGACGCCCAAATTTTCGTTTGGTCCGCTCTCCGGTGGTTCAGCATTTAGCTTTACAGGTGCTTCATCAGCACCTAAGTCGACGCCGAGCTTTGGATCGTCGGGGACATCAGCCTTTGCTGTAGCTCCGTCGTCGGGTGGTGATGCGAAAAAGACGGAGGCGTCATTATCAATATTCGGCGCCGCAAATGTTGCCAAGGAAGATGGAGGCAAGACTAACAGTGGTTCCGGCTTTGCAAATGCAAACGGCGTCTCGAGTAATATCTTTGAGAAGCCCAGTGGTGACGCAAGCACGTCTACACCAACTTCCAAGGGTGTATTTGGCAATGCCACGTCGAGCAATGCGTTCTCTACAACTCCTGGAACTCCTGCTGTACCTGGCAGTGCCCAACCAGGCGCTTTCTCGTTTGGCAACGGGTCAGACAAACCTGCAGATAGCACGAAGTCGTCATTTACTCCATCAAGCAATCCCACTTCTACTGTCTTTTCGTTCGGGAAGAAGGAAGACACCACTGTGCCTTCTTCGTCCAGTACCAATGCTTCTACTGCGCCTGCATCATCCACGCCCACGTTTGCATTCGGATCTTCTGTATTTGGTCAACCTTCGGCGGGTACTTCAAATGGGCCAACGCAACAGCAATCGGTCTTTGGAAAAACATCAGCACCTACGCCTAGTGCGTTTGGTTTTAGCAGTGGGACTGGAACTGGAACCGGAAACAGCACATTCCTTTTCGGAGGTCAGCCCGGAGGTCAAAACCAACAGCAATGATGGATTCCTGTGTTTTTATCTACAATTACTCTTGACCTTGTACAGCACTGTGTTGCGTTCATCCTGGTACTTTATAGGCGTACATACAAGTATTGCTTATCTCATCGCATGTCAACGTTTGTTTTTTGTACCATCACGATTCACGTGTTCGGGGCATTCAGCATTGTCTGGTTGGAGGCTCCTGCATCTAGCAGCCTGATGCTTCTGCTTCAATACCACTTCTACTAATACTATCAACGTATCTTTCATAGTGACTCTAAATAACGTTTGCAGTGCTTCCGATACACGCACCTTGCAAATGGATTGATTTCATGGTCAATATTTAAAGTTGAAGATTCCAAAGCGGCGAAAAAAGTGGTCAAGAGGGAGACCACCAACGTTAACCTAACCTTCACTATTTTTTTTTTTCTGACCTTGTACAGCACATATACTTCTAATTATCAAAAAACATGACCACCGCAGGGGTCGAACCTGCAATCTCCTGATCACGTAATCGTAGTCAGACGCGATGCCATTTCGCCAGGCGGCCGTTGAAATACGAGAATGTGCATGTATTATACGCTAAAGACGAGACAAGTTTGCCCATATACAACAACTCCACTTGCTGGACTACCATGTCCGTCTTGTTCGAAACTTCTCTAGGCGACCTCGTCATCGACCTTGAGGTGGAGCAATGCCCGAAAACATGCGAGAACTTCTTGAAACTTTGTAAGGTGTACTATTACAATTTGAATGCATTCTTCAATGGTGCGTGATTTTTCCTTCATTGGTACCTTTGCCTTACATGACAGTATTCAGTGTCCAAAGATTTTCTGGCTCAGGCTGGTGATCCCACTGCCACAGGAACGGGTGGAGAATCAATATGGTCCTATATTGCCTCCCAAGAGGAGAAAGATTCCACAGCCGCCCGGTATTTCACCCCAGAAATCGTGCCAAAATTAAAGCACACCCATAAAGGCACAGTGTCCATGGCTGTAGCACCCTCTGTCAATGGCGAGAAAGGTGGTTGCGGCAGCCAATTCTTCATCACGCTCGCAGACAACATAGACTATCTCGACGGGAAGCATGCAGTTTTTGGTCACGTCGTAGAAGGGATGGAAGCACTGGACAAGTTGAATGACGTTTTCACGGATCAAGATGGGAGGCCATTCAAGGATGTGCGGATAAGACATGTCGTTATTCTCGGTGCGTTAGCATCTAATTGGACACTGGTCTCTTCATGTGCTGATGGACGTTCATAGATGACCCATTCCCTGACCCACCCAGCCTAATTCAACCTCCGTCATCTCCAACTCGCCCCCCAGATAATTCTACTAGGATTGCGGAAGATGAAGACCCCCTTGCTACTCTTCCGGATGAGGAAGAGGAGCGTATACGCCGCGAAAAGGCCGCAGCAGCCTCTGCCCTAACGCTTGAGATGGTTGGCGATCTGCCTTTTGCCAACGTCCGGCCCCCAGAAAATGTTCTTTTCGTGTGCAAACTCAACCCTGTGACACGAGACGAAGACTTGGAACTCATCTTCTCAAGATTCGGCACCATTATGAGTTGCCAAGTCATTAGAGACAAGAAAACAAGTGACTCATTGCAGTACGCTTTCATAGAGTTCGACAAGCGAGAGGACGCAGAACAGGTTCGTGGTGCACAGCTTCTGCATAGTGAGACAAGACTCAAGGACCTGTCAGGCCTATTTTAAGATGCAAAATGTATTAGTAGATGATCGACGTATTTGGGTAGACTTGTACGTGCGAAACCATTTCATCGACAATGCATTGGCTGACTCATCTACGCAGCTCGCAGTCTGTGGCGCGGCTCAATACTTCCTGGTCCAATAATCCCAAAGTGGGACTGCATAGCAAAGAAAGGGGTGGGTTCGGCGGGCGTGAAGACTTGGAAGAAACTCGACGATACCGGGCAGCTGGGAGAAGTGATGGGAGAAATGACTACGGAATGGTGTTTGAAGTCCCAGCTGACAGAACAACTTCATCGCGCAGGAGCAGACATGATCGAGATCGGGAAGACCGTCGAGATCGGCGTCGACGTTCTGTCTCTCCAGTGCCACGCGACAGATCTGGAGAAAGGCGCCGCAGCAGAGATAGATATTCTCGGGATTATAGGACACGCCGCTAGCAGCGGATCTGAAACTGAACACTGTGCCTGTATGTTTTTACTCATTGTGCTTTGTGTACCAAAATGATTTGGCCTTATGAGGCAGCCCACCAGTCTGAACTGTGATATCCACCATTGCTGTGCCACGGGCAAGCTTATAAGCAACCGACTTACGTTTGCTCGATGAGAACTGGATCCTGCTGTCTCTCCTTTGATCTCTCTCTCATGACACACTCACACAATGATTTCTATGCTCCCGGCTCTGATATGCTCCTGCTCTCCAGCGACGACGTGAAATTCTGCGTCCACCGTTGCATACTAGCGGCCGCTTCTCCATTCTTTGACCATATGTTTGCATTGCCACAGCCTCCCGACGATCCAACCAACGAGGAATGTCGTCCTATAATCCCTGTGTCGGAGTCTGGCTCAATCATGCACACGCTTCTGTGTTTCGTTTACCCCATACCCCATCCCACTATTTCATCCCTTGACGAGCTCAGCACTATTATTGGAGTCGCAGTCAAATACGACTTCCTTGGCGTCATCTCTTCTCTTCGCAAGCAGCTTATCTCCCCTGCGTACCTGAGAGACGATCCAGTGCGAGTATTTGCAATTGCGAGCCGTTACGATTTCGAGCATGAAGCTCAGATTGCGTCACGACACACGCTCTCCATCAACGTCCTTGATTGTCCATTGTCGGATGACTTCCGCTTTATCACAGCCCACTCATACCATCGCCTCCTCGTCTTGCACAAGAAACGTTCGAAGGATGCCCAAGCGCTTCTCAAGATTCCAGAAGATGTGAAGTGCTTGCAGTGCTCAGGGCCATATTATGGGGCATTTGTACCGCCAAAGTGGTGGAAGGAGTTTGAAAGAATGGCAAGAACAGACCTGGAATTACGGCCGACCACAGACGTTATCTTCAGCATGTCATTCCTTGCACGGGCTGCCGAGGCATCAGGATGCTTGCGATGTGCGAGTAGCATTCTGGACTCGCATCAATTCTTGTCAGATCTCAAGCGACAGATCGACGAGCTTCCTGCCACGATATGATCATGCCTCTTCACGGCTATCACGACGTTTTCATTGTCATATAATTTAGGACTTTTCGGGGACGTTCTATGCGCCATCTCACATTACATAATATCCCGAGTACTTTACTGCCACCATGATGAACCTGGTCCCACTGTATACTTAATCACTATAGTCATATTGTATTATGAAACGACATACTCTTACTCTTAGAGTTAACCTTGCTAGGTGCTATACCCATGATTGCTGAACTTGTATGTACGTTACACTTACCACGCAGGTGACCAAATTTACAGATATGATACCAGTACAACCGTTGTACCTGACTGACGTGTCAAGTTCAAGCACACTGGTTAAGCGAGTATGTGAAGTACGAGGCTTTGCCAAGACCGTAGTGGCTGGGGTAAATGCCGTAATTATCTTGTGGGGAACGTTCACGATTACCAGAGTCGACTAGTGGGGGGGAGTGCCGTAGGACTCGAGTACAAGAAAATTTAGAAACAACCGTAATCAAAGTGAAACATGATACCCGAGGTGATAAGTAACTAGGGTCTACCAGCTGACAGGTAGCGTGACTCGGACAGCATGACTCTCCCTTGACCTAAAATTAAAGGTCTGGACAACTCTCTCGGATCCACTTATCTCAACGACTTTGTCTGCAAGATGTCTACACCACAGCTAGCCACATTCAAGATACCTGCAATCGAAAATGAACCTATGGTGAGTCTTTGTGAACCTCACCAGTCAATCCTACTCATCCTGAATCATATCGCTAGCGAAGCTATGCTGTGGGGTCAGCAGAGCGCAGGGGTCTCGAAGCTGCACTTGCTCAGATGCAACAAGAACTTCCATTCGAAGTCCCCTGTATCGTGAACGGCTCACCGGTCTGTACAGCACGCCACTGGCCAATTCGTTGATGTGACTTAGATTTCCGCGATCTTAGATTAAAACTGGTAAACTTGCCAAACAGCCCATACCCTCTGATCATGCCCGTCATCTCTGCGTATACCACGAGGCAGATGAAGCGACTGTGGCCAGTGCCATCGATGGTGCTCTTTCTGCCAAGGCTGAGTGGGAGGCGATGCCTTGGAACGATCGCGCCGCAATCTTTCTGCGTGCTGCAGAGCTTGTTAGCGGCAAGTACCGCTACAAATTGGTAGCAGCTACTATGCTTGGTCAAGGGAAGAATGCTTGGCAGGCTGAGATTGATGCTGCTGCCGAGGTGTGTAAGATCGATTTATCTTGACAGCAGTTGATTGATGAAACTTTGGCAGCTGACAGACTTTTTCCGTTTCGGCGTCAAATATGTTGAGGAGCTCTACGCACAACAGCCCCCTAAGAACGCAGCAGGATCATGGAAGTAAGTCCAGTACCCCTTCTATAAGGCTATTTCTGATGATTGGATAGCCGCGTCGAGTATCGTGCGCTAGAAGGATTTGTTCTTGCAGTTTCGCCATTCAACTTCACAGCAATTGGTGGAAACCTTCCAGGTGGTAAGTGCGACTATTCTATCGTGATTATTGCGTTCTGAACGAGTCATCTCTTAGTTCCTGCGATCGTCGGTAACACAGTTGTATGGAAACCTTCACCGGCGGCCACGTATTCCAACTACTTGATCTACCAGATCCTCGCGGAGGCTGGTGTTCCACCTGGTGTTATCCAGTTCGTTCCCGGGCCACCTCCAGAAGTCGTTGCACAGGCGATATCGCACCCCAACTTTGCAGCACTCCACTTCACAGGCAGCACCTTCATTTTCAAGAAGCTATGGAAAGACATTGCCGCAAACCTAAACAAGTACAAAGGCTATCCGAGAATCGTCGGTGAGACAGGAGGGAAGAACTTCCATGTCATCCACAAGTCGGCAGAGATCCGAAATGCAGTTTTGCAGACTATTCGAGGCGGCTTTGAGTACCAAGGTGCGCATATCGTGTGTATGAGTAGCACGCAAGATTGACAGGCGTGGGTGCAGGACAAAAATGTTCTGCATTGTCGCGGCTATATGTTTCCTCTTCCCTTTGGTCATCTGGATTCAAAGATCTGCTGCTGTCTGAGATTGCGAAGATCAAAATCGGGCCATCATCAGACTTCGGTAACTTTATGGGTCCTGTGATGTGCGTTCCATTTCTATGCATCGGGCTGCGCGCCGGTTACTGAATAATATCGCAGAGGCCGTCCTGCGTATGACAAAATAATTAGCTTCATCCAGAAAGCCAAGGATGCGGGAGGGGAGGTTCTTATCGGAGGCACCGGTAAGACGAATAGTATGATTCACCTGCGACTGTTCTCATGATCTTACAGGTGATGACTCCAAGGGCTACTTCATTCAACCTACCATCATTCTAACCAAAGATCCTCAATCAATCACAATGAAAGAAGAAATCTTTGGTCCTGTCATCACTGTAATGTTTTTTTATCACCAATGCGGCCAGATGTACTAACAACTTTCCAGGTTTATGTGTACGACGACGCGGATTATGAGAAGACTCTGGAACTCATCGACAACACCTCCCCTTATGCATTGACTGGCTCTATGTAAGTCGCAAGGTCTCCGCGATATGCATTGACCGACAATTTCTCTTCTAGCTTTGCCGCAGACCGCAAAGCCCTTCTGACTGCCACAAACAAGCTACGCAACGCTGCCGGTAACGTCTATTACAACGAGAAATGCACTGGCGCGGTCGTGGGTCAACAACCCTTTGGAGGAGGACGAGCAAGTGGAACCAACGACAAAGCTGGGAGTATCAGCATCTTCTACCGATTCGTCTCGGCGAGAAGCATAAAGGAGAACTTCGTGGGTCTGGAGGACTTCCAGTACCCGTCGAACTTGGTTTGAGGTAATTAGAATCAGGATAACAAACGCTAGTAATCGGTGTTGTATCAATCAAAGAATCATGCATGCATGTTGTTACCTGTGTTCGCTGAGAATCCTTTGTTGAGGACAAATTCTGGGAAACAAGGAGGAGCACACTAATGACATTAAACAAAACTGTGCACTCGGTATTACTACAACGGGATCATTGGCAAGCAGGACTAGAAATATTGATTTAGCAACTATGAGAGACAATCGAGGCTAAGAACTCACACATCTCGGCAATTCGACCAGTGCTCTCCATGAGCCATGCGACTCAGATCAAAATCTAGCCCTCCGGGTATCATCAATACAGTCCCAAAATAATAAAATGATTCTTTTCGGGAAGCGGGCGGTACCCAGAAAAACAGTCGTCCGTAGGCTCCTACTATCCATCCATTATCCTTCAACACGACATGGGTTGGATCAAGATGAGAGGTGGCCTCGAGTAGCTCAGCAGGGTTTTGCAGTGCATATTCCAGGCGTGATGGGAAGCAAGTAGTGCGATTGTTCCGAGGATCGGTTAACATGATAGTCTCACGTTTGCAAGGTGTGGTGGGACGTCTGCCCGAAGAGAATGCGGAGTGAATCTCGGCATGCTCCTGAAGTTGCTGTTGTGTCGTTGCATCCCACAGCCGGACAGTGGAATCATCTGAACCAGACATGATGCGAGTGCCATCGGGCGAGAACGAGACTGACAAAACCAAACGAGTGTGCCCTCGGAAGGGCTCCCCCAATGGCAGCCTGGTTGCTGCATCCCACAGCCGGACAGTGGAATCTTCTGAACCAGACGCGATGCGAGTCCCATCGGGCGAGAACGAGATTGACCAAACCGAATCGGTGTGCCCTCGGAAGGGCTCACCCAATGGCAGCCCGGTTGCTGCACCCCACAGCCGGACAGTAGAATCCCCTGAACCAGACGCGATGCGAGTCCCATCGGGCGAGAAGGAGACTGAAAAAACCAAATCGGTGTGCCCTTGGAAGGGCTCACCCAATGGCAGCCCGGTTGCTGCATCCCACAACCGGACAGTGTAATCTAAAGAACCAGACACGATGCGAGTCCCATCAGGCGAGAACGAGACTGACGAAACAGAACGAGTGTGCCCTTGGAAGGGCTCACCCAATGGCAGCCCGGTTGCTGCATCCCACAGCCGGACAGTGGAATCCCTTGAACCAGACACGATGCGAGTCCCATCGGGGGAGAATGAGACTGACGAAACCGAATCAGTGTGCCCTTGGAAGGGCTCACCCAGTGGCAGCCCGGTTGCTGCATCCCACAGCCGGACAGTGGTATCATGTGAACCAGACGCGATGCGAGTCCCATCGGGCGAGAACGAGACTGACGAAACCCAATAGGTGTGCCCTTGGAAGGGCTCACCCAATGGCAGCCCAGTTGCTGCATCCCACAGCCGGACAGTGAAATCTTCTGAACCAGACACAATGCGAGTCCCATCGGGCGAGAACGAGACTGACAAAACCGGAGAAGTGTGCCCTCGGAAGGGCTCACCCAATGGCAGCCCGGTTGCTGCATCCCACAGCCGGACAGTATAATCTAAAGAACCAGACACGATGCGAGTCCCATCGGGCGAGAACGAGACTGACAAAACCGAAGAAGTGTGCCCACTGATCACGGTCTGAATAGCCGTCCAGTTCACAAGACGTCCATGCATCAGACGAAGTGTTCAAAAATCTTGCGGTAAACCTTGTAGCTATCGTGGACTTGATGGGGGAAAATGACAGTGCTGATACATACAGATGCGGCGTGCTGTGTAAAATCATGCCACCAAAGACCTGGACAAATCTCTGCACATCCATTGCAGTGGACAGGATATTTTCATATCCGGATTGGCCCTGTGTTTGCGCATAAGCACTTCGCCTGACACCACCAGGTGACTCTGTTCTCACCTTCAGCCACTGGGTAAGGAGTGGAAGCACGGCAACTGCGCCGCTGAGTGCATTGAGAAGGCCGAGTGCCTCAATCCAGAAGAGTAGTCGCTCGTTGTCGAGGAATGATCTTATTTCCTTGGCGAGGTCCTTGTCGAAGCCCGTTGCTCGGACGTGCGTAGCCCAAAATTGACAGGAATAGGACAGATGCGAGGGAATACGTGCTGCGACTCTATCCGGCAGCCCAGTATCTTCGCTATTGGGGAGGTATGAAGACTTCAAATTACACATATTGAAACGAAGGTTGTGTTCCATCACTCGAAGTGACGCAAAAGCAAGATCGCGTTGCGAGTTTGACATATTCACGAAAAATTCTCCGCTGGATGATTCGTTTGTCAGGAATTCGCGGAAGGATGCGTGAAGGGGTCGGATGGGGCTAGATGAGTTGGTGATGCCGCTTAGCAGGGATCCCATATGTGCTACCACGACTTCCACTTTGTAGTGCTCGCTTTTGTCTGGAAAACAGCCCCGCATGGCATTCAGGGCATCTAAAGGGAGGGGTTCGGCCGAGCCTAGTATTTGTCCCATCACGGAATGAAACTTCGCTAGCGCTTGCTTGTAATCGTCGGGGCTTGTGTATCTGTCCTTCCCCATGTTTTCTGTCAAAATAAAACTATACATGCCATACAGCAAGTTGTTCCGCTTTTTATGATCGTGGGACACGACAGCATTGAAACAATCAATTGTGGATTTAGCAGGAGGGGGTAGTTGGATATATTTGCATGCAAGACGTGCCCACTCGAATAATCCGCCAGCTTTGTCAGCGAGGTCTCCGAACTCTTTGTCCCCTAGGTCAGACAGCTCTTTCAGCTCCTCAGACACAAAAGTATGGATATCGCTCTTGGCAACTGCTTCTGGAATGTCATCCATGGATAAGCGTAGAATATGTTGAGCACCGTGAAAGGCATCATCGATATCACGAAGTGGGCGAGAGGTGACGAGAATCCGAACGTTGGGAGGGAGTTCGGTAATTTTTGGAAAACCTTTGTCCTGAAGTTTACCTGAAAGTATACGGAGAAGGCTACGCCGTGTCTCAACTCCGCCGCTCTCGTCCAGCGCTTCGATGACGATTAAGACAGGTTCCGCACTCGACCCAGAAAACTTCTGTAGTGGTTCCATCAATAGTTTACACCACTGCTGGATGATATCTGTCGTGTTCTTGAGCGCATTTGCATGTTCAATTGTATTTGCCAATGTTCGTCTCATCTCCGGATCACGGTCAGCGAGGTCACGAGCGACAGTGGAGAAGACTTTCTCATGACGCTTGTCGGGTTGATTCCGGTCGAAGCAGAAACACGAACCAAGCCTTCCCAAGTCATTGAGCCAGTTGGCGATCGTGTGAGCGATGGCTGATTTGCCCGTGCCCGCAGGGCCAGATAGCCACAGTACACGCTGAGCAGTATCTCTACTGTCGTTGATCCATTCAGTGATCTGGGAGAGAATGTCCGTGCGCGTCCCTGGTAGGCATTGTTTCGTGGTATTTAGTCCCGCGCCTGCTGCGTAAGGCATGCCGCTGAGATCGAGTTTGTCACCCAGCTCGTCACCTGAAGGGGTATAAGTAGACGGAAAGTCAGAAGCACGTCCGAATCCTTACTCGTATACCGGACAAGATCGGCTATGTTTCGAAGAGCTTGGTCCCGAAATTGTTGCATAAGCTCATCCAACGTCTTGTTGTATCGTGCAATCAGATCATTTGTATCCGAGACGGCATTCTCCTTGAGTCTGTTCCCTGTAATAATGAAATAAGATTTACAATATGCGCAGTGCAATAACTCGATGACTTACAAAAGCCCTTCTTCTGCGAGTAGTCCCTGATGAAATGCGCGCACTCTAGAGTTTGCTGCGCGATTCGTCCAGCAATAACGTGCTGGGATGAAATCTTGCCAAGAGTGTCATCTTGTGACATGAAACGGTAAACTTGTTCTAATTTCTGGAGAAGAGATTGTATCGATTGATCACGTTCCGTTTGAGCAAGAATAATCTGCATAGAGTCAACAACTGCTGAACGGAAGGGCGAAGCTACACGTACTTTAGATGCAGCAGACAGCACACCCAGCACCATCTTTGCATAAGGATGTACCTATGCAGCTTGATTAGCTCGCTTCCAACCAAGAAGAGTGGCCCATACATTCGCCAGATTCTCAATGACAGTGTCAAAAACTTTGAGTGGTTGAAGGTATGTGGTCTGGAAATCGTCTGCAGGCAGCGAGATCTTTAGGGCCGTCCTCGACTTTGGATACCACGGAAGTGACACGTCCCCCGAGTAGTCTCATACTTTTCGTACCCTCACGGGCGTTCCGAAGTCCTGCATCGACTGATTGGGGATCCGGAATCTGCACCACCACCAGAATTCAGAGATGAAAACCAGATCGTTTGGCGTAAATACCTTTGAAGCAGGTTCTCCGGACGCTCTTTGGTTCTCACAGCCACTGAGATTCTTAGATGTGGTGGGCTGGTCATCGTCGGAAGTATGCAAACGCGACGCCTCCTTGGTGGACCTCAGATAAATTCAAGATCAAAATAATGCGCACTTACCTCGATATTCCGACTCGATGAAGCACCTTCATGACCGGCGTTCTGGACAACGAGGTTTTGGTGGCGGGTACCCTTGAAGTGTTTCTGTACAATATCAGCTATATTCCAGCTCCCTCACCATTCAGGCCGACGTACAAAAACTTTTTTATTCACATTCTTGAATTTCCGCAGGGTTCGACGGAATTTTTTATTCACATTCTTCCTGAATTTACGCAGGGTTTGACGGAATCCGTGACGGGACTGAGTCTGGATGAAGGATGCGTAAGAGGCAGCGACGATGTTATTAGCGCTCGTCGACACCAATCTCGTGAGGGCACATACCGAGCTCTGGCGAGCAGTTGTTTCTCTGGATACAGAAACTTCTGGAGGATTCGGCCCGTGGTCTTCGCTCATTGCAAACAGTTAAAAATTGGGATCAGTTGAGGGAAATGGATGCAAGAATCAGAGGGAATGGAGAGTACTTCGGTAGAACCAAAGTTTAAATAACAAGCCCTTGACCACAAGCCTCAAGGCAGCGCTAATCATTCAGCCATGTTTGAGTGGGCAGTGCAAGAACGTGCCAGGGCCCAGTGGGTCATGCAAGCACTGACAAAACTTTAGCATTAAGATGTTCATCATGGAACAAGAGGCTTGATTTACAGGTCTTATGAAATACATACATATGTGCATGGGCGCGCCGCGCAACAACCGTCAGCTGAGTTAGGATACGGAAAGCGGGAGTGATCACGGCACCATGCTTACATGAGTCGGCGTGTAGGTGTGACTTGGGTATGTTTTCTAATCATTTTTCTAACAGCGTCCTGCTGCTATGACTTGCTCAAGCAGAACAGGTACTTGATAATCTTTCGGTCACTGCACACTCCGCCTAAAATGCTCCATCGACACCACCAAAATTGGAGCTCCTTCTCTGCCAGCTTAAGAATATGCCCGTTAAACGTCGACGTGACAATGGTAATTGGCCGATATAGCTAGTGGTGCATGTTCTCATGATGAATGGAATGTCATGAACCCGTACGCTGTGGCGCGAGTGACCACGCTCCGGTCAGCAATAATTTGGCATGTGTAAACTGGGCCAAACAATAATCCTGATTCATGACAAGCCGCTTATCGACCCTCTTCCAAGTATCACACCGAACACAAAGATGTTTTCATAGCTTCCCTGCCACACGCACGGAAAATTACCGACGTGCAAGCGACAAGCTGTTCGCAGATGCAGAACGGGAGCAAGCAGAAGAAGCTCAAAGCCCTAAACCAAGCATTTCAAATATTCCTCGCCTGCAAAGCCAGGATGAAAACTGGACAGGCGAAGAATCTATACAGGATGCTGTGCTGCGCATGCTCGTCGACAAGTACAAGCCTATGCGCTCGGGGCCTATCAGGACAGCTGATATGAAGCTGAGGGAAGCGCCGCCGAGGGTGCACACAGATGCATATGTCGTCGAACGGCCTGCCCAAACGTGGCAGGAACTAGCAAACAAACCTTTGCTACCTTCTATAGAAGGTCACAAACCTTAGCATACCACTTACAAGACCCCCTCTCATGCGTCTGCATCCATTAAGCTCGGTAATTTCACACCTACATCCGCGCGCACACCTGGCGTCCACACCGTGGCGGACGAACGCACCAGAAAGACAGAGAGGGAGCTTGCCAGACGCAAAGAGCAAGCAGGACGACTGACAAGAGCTAGAGAGTCAACATTGGATTATCGCTTGGGCCTGAAGAACGGCGATCGACAGCCTGCTGCTCGTCGGAACCCTGTGAGCATGAGGGGGTGGCAGGCCTTGATAGAAGACCAGATACAGGTCGGTTTCGTCGCTCACTCAGAATTATCTTCTACTTACATCTCAAGATAGAAAGCTCGAGCTGCCGGACATTTCGACAAAATCAAAGGGCGAGGTCAGCCTATGGTTAGACTGAGTGACGAGCACAACCCTTTCATTGCGAGAGAGGAGTTCCTCATGAACCGGATTGTTCAAAGGAACGGGGCAGCTCCACCGTGGGTCGAAGTCCAAATTGGTGAGTGACTTGTACGATTTCGATGAGATCTTCAAACTTACCACTATATTCTAATATTACAGAGCTCGAGACTGCAGTGAACTCATTTCGCGATGTCCTGCGGCAGTCGTGGACAAGGCGCACAATCCGGACTCTAACAATGTTGCAACCAGCGGCTATGTTGCCTTCATTATCACTGGGCAGCGTGACATCATTGCGCGATCGCGAGTGGGAAGAACGAGAGCGCTCTTACCACGATACAGCCGTCGCCGAATTGAATTCTTTGGTACGTAAATACAATGCCCTTGCGCCATATTCTGTACGCCGCCCATATTATTCTCGAGAGGCCGAATTAGCCAAGGCGTATCAGGATTGTGGGTATGATATTATGCGTGGGATATCAGAGAGAAGAGAGATACACGGCAAGTCTGTTGCCTCACCATCATCTGAAGTCGAGTCTTCTGTGGATGTCGATGCCTACTCTTTGAGGTTTCGGGATATCATTCGTCGGTGGCTTAGGAAGCTGCGAGACAGATTCATCAACGTATCCTGACAGACGCGCTTGCATGGCTGGCTGATCATACATACATACTACATTGTGCCCATATGAAGTTCAAGGGCTCAAGGCACGCCCCATATCTATTCCGGACCCCCCAATTGTAGCTAACAATCTATACATGCATTTGTATCCTAGCCCTTGTTCTGTTACTGGATATCCAGAAATCCAGGAGTGCGCCGGCCGCTTTTTGTCTATTGTACAATTGTGTTGATCTGATGCCGCGGAGGCATTCATATCATCATCATCAGCGTTGTTCCTCAACATCCACGAAGCACTGGTGTCGTTACGACGATGAATGGACACAAAGACAGTGACAGCACTGAGCACGATTGAATAATAAATCGAATTCCTGCAATTACGTGAATCCGGCATTCCGGACTTAACTCGGCTGCAAGGGACAAGAAGAAACGAGGCGTTTACAAATTCCCTGGCCTGCCAGGCGGGACGCTGCCTCGTGTCTGCCTTTTCCGGAGGTCATTGACCGGACATCTGATCTATAAAAGCCCACCCTTTTGTTTATTTAATTCTCCCATCCTCAAGCCTTGTATTCTTACAAACTCCACCTTTCCTCCTACATATCCCGCCCACCGTCGCCGACGCCCATGGCCATCTACGAGGAATACGCATCGCTCCCTCTCACTGGCGACATTACGGTGAAATTTTCACTTTTCCTCAGTGCCGAACAAGCTCTAAAGCTGCTTTTTGTAGCCTGGCGACATTGTCGCCGTTAACCACGACCGCTACGGTCGTCAAGAGGGCCTCGTCGTTGGCTCTCGTGTCGACTTCGCTGTAAGCCTCGATTCCTACAATTAAAAATGCATCATAACCCATCCCACCTCAACAGGGCCGACAAATCCTCGAAGTCCAACTCGAAGCCTCAAGTGAAATCTACCAAGCATGGTACAGCTGGCACATTTCTCACCCCCAATTCCAATATCTGACGCAACACAACCACAGGTACCCCACCGTCACTCGCGTCAGGCGAACAGTCTCCTACACCCGACCTGTCGTCGCAAAACAGCGCACTATTGAGCGCCGAATCTATTGGTGATCATATTTCACCCGGCCCTGTTTCTCTGCGTTGTCGAAATTTGTATTATCTAAGTATACGTGTCTGCCCTTCGACATGGTGATGGGTGCTCTTGCTTCTTGCTTCGGTCATGGGGCGATGTTCGATATGGTACATAGCTCGCGGTGGCTACTGGTGGACGCGATGCCGGGCATGGCGGAGGTTGCTTGTTTCATTCGATTGATGGATTTACGATGATTGCTAGAGGTCTTTTGATATCAGGACATTAGGTCACACGTACTTTGGATGACCGTGACAGAATGACATGACCTTGACGATCAACTACTGTTACATCTTGTGCACAGCACGGTGTGTTCTATCAAGCATTGTGTGACGTGGCGGCAATCGCGAGTCCCGCAAATTTACTCATTGTGCATATCTCACTATTGTGCACTGCATCATCCGCCGGGACAGATAAGCGCTATCAAACGCCGTAGATAACTTGAGTCCAGTTGGTATTCAATGAGTACCAACGCACATGGCTAGGTAAGTGAGCGGAGATCTCGACATGTGGCAGGCTAGGCTATGCTAAGGATACACGAGCATAATAAAGTTATATGATAATATGGGGGTTATAGAAAAGCGGTCATGCTTTCTGGTCAACGACAGGTGAGGGGTGTGTAGGTTGAGGGGATTTAGGATGGCGGGATCCTGGTGGACGAGCGGTAAGGGATGATGATGAAGATGACGTACGTTGATGCATGATGTCCGGTGCTGATGCCCAGAGAGAGGAAGACGAATTGGTAGATGTACTTGACAGAGAAATCTGTGATAGATTTGCTTTCAAAGGGACAGCGCTCCCGTTCATTAGAGACGGTGTCGATCCAGATAGAGATTCTCGGTCCCGTCGTGCAGCCGAAACACTCCTTCTCCCAGCCACTACGCTTCTCACAACTCTTGAACCCATCACACTTCTCCCCTTGCTCTCTGTTACATCCCCATCTACCAGCGAACTTGCAACTGATGTCGTTGACCCGTTCACGCGCGGCTTGAGTGTCTCCTCTGAGCTTCGTGGTGAGTTGTGATGTGGGTAAATGTTGTACGACTGTACCACGCGCTCGTAGTAGAGCATAAACGCCCCAGAAGCCTCCTGCACTACTGTCTCTATTCCGCATTCCTTCACTGAGTCGTCGCTGATCCGTAGCCATCCCCGGCCAGGGCGGTACATAGAGTCCACGGCTTCGTCGTCGTCGCGCACAGGCCCATAGCGCTGGCATTTTTCGCAGTCGCAGCCAAGTGGGTCGACGAGTCTTGGTGGTGCGAAGCGTCGCGAGCCATAGGATACAGGCCGGGGTTTGCGCCGATAGCAAACGTAGTGACCGAAGGAATGCTGGCCATAGTGACACACAACAGCAGAAAGACGGTATATGATTCTTTGCACAGCATATGTTGCTGGCGTGGGAGTTGTGGAACGAGGGGGTAGTGGCGGTTGTGACGAGATTGGAACAGAAGGTTTGGTGGAAAGGTTGCCAGACGTTGTAAATGGTGTGAGATCTAGAAATTCGGGAAACAGAATGGGAACTGTGTTCTTAGCAGCATAATGGCCGTAGCTGAGGGATCGATTAAGATGCAGTGCGAGAACTTGAGGTGGCTGTAGAACGTCTTAGACACTCGGGGCACATAAAAAGCTTACGCTTACTCTTGCGATCATAGCTTGCTTTGTCGATGCTCTGCTGAATACTTTCTCCAGCTTGACACCCTTGACTTCCTCTTCTAGTCGACCATGCTCCAAGGCAGACTGCACCCTGAGTTCTAGTTTTCTAGCGTCCTTCATTCGCTTCCTCTTTGATACAGAGGCAGTAGGGTCTGCGTTTACTGCTGCTGCCAACCGGTCCGCCTCTTGCCTAAGCTTCTGGAGTGTGGCCTTCATCGAACATTTACGACATATGCAGTCGTTCAGCATCTCAAGCTTAGTGTACTCCGCAAGACAATCTTCCAAGTGACAGCTGGCCTGTGGGCGAGTTGGAGCATATCGATGACCAAATCAAGAAACACATACGGCATATCGAGGCACAGCAAGTTGCCAGCTATCGAAAGCAAAGTGCATGACGGCTTCAGTGTAGCCGCACTCAACACAGCTGCGTCTGTTCGCTGTGAGTCCGTCGAACACGCTCTTCCCAATCTCCTTGTTGACATTATTGCGGACTTGAGAGAGTCCACCTAGACCACGGTCCCGTTGGCCTTCATTATCAATTGCAGCCACTTCCTTCTTGATGCATTCGGAGACGAGTTGGAATAATTCCTGTGCGTCTTGATGTTCTCGAGAGGAAAAGAGGGAGTTGTGTTTGCTTCTGGAGTGATTGACGAGGGTAGTGATCATGTCGAGTGGACGAATTGAACGATAAGCAGAACGAGGTGTGTTGAGGTCTAGAGTTATATCTGTCAATTGTGGAGCTGTGGTGTTGTACGATGATACGCACCTTGGAGCAAAGCCAAGAGGGCGTCCACGACAGGTGATGGCACATCAAGTTGAATGGCCTTGGCTTGCGTGTACGAAAGATAAGGATGTAAATAGGACAAGGATGCCATAGCCTGATTGCAGTATTTTGAATTGGAGAAATATGATTCGGATTGAGTTACCTTACCTGCATAGTTGAATTCATGAAACAGTATGTTCCGGATATATTGACAAGACCGGGGTAATAGCCATCATGGACATCATTTTTGTGCTCTAGACCTGATCTCTAGTAACAATTAGAGTATCACATGAGAATAAGTACATACGTGGTCTTGCATGCCCATTAAGCTCGATCTGTTCACTACGAGTGCGTACTACTTTCTTCTTGAGTTTTTTAGTTTCTTGTTGGGTCCCGGAAGATGATGACCAGTTCCATGGAAAGCTGAATGACAAGCTTTCAAACCCCATAGCTAACCGCCGGGTGACTGATAGGGATGATCCAAGGCTGAATACTGTCTGGACGAAGAGCAGGACAATAAGCGGGAATAAAACGAAAATGGCAAGGGGGGTTATTTGGAGAAATAAAGGGTCTTTGAGTAAGGCGAGAGACCAAGAACGAAAGTCGTCTTGAATGTTCATGGGGGGGTTTAACTCGATGCTGCTCTCCAAGACATGGGCAGCGATGGCGATGCGGCAGCTCGGAGCGTAAGGTGTTGACATGCTCGTTCGTTCGTATATATTATGGCCACGCAATTCACTAAAACACATGGCTACCTGGCGCAATGGTAGCGCGTTTGGCTTCGATTGCCAGCGGCACCAAAAGGTTGCAGGTTCGAGTCCTGCGGTGGTCATTTTTTTCACTGTTAAATAATTCTATATCTTATTCTTATTCCTTCTTATTCTTATTCTTACTCCTCATAACACTCGCCCCTGTGGAACTCACAAGGCCACCGCCCTATGGATATACCCTCTCCAGATATCACTCGCCTCCCCTTTTGCTCCTCCCCATCTAAAATAATTACATACTGCTCATCTGTTCTTTCATCCACGTAATGCCACTTCCCACATACGCCATCGCCAAACGGGTGTGGGAATAGGTCATCATCCTCGGGCTCCGATGGATCCGCCAGGAATGGGTGGTATAATGCTCCCCGCGGAGTAATGCGTCGCGTTGACTCGGGATGCATTACCTCCGCGAGAAGAGAGAGCGCAGCTTCGACGTCAGTTCGGTGTGATCCAGCTGTTGAAGGTGCTGGTATATTGGCACGCGTGGGGGTAGTGGAGAGTGACCGAGAGGAACTGGTCTGTCTGTGGCCGTATGATGATGAAGAAGACGACGGAGGTGGATAGTTGAATCCTCCAGGGGAATGTGTCTCGTAGTCATTGTAAGGATAATATCGAGGGTCTGGCGTACGAGATTTGAATATGTTAGGATTTTGTTTTTCAACGAACTCGCGCCAGCTCATGCCCTCTTGCGATATTGAAGGCACATTGGTTGCAAATGTCCGACCTGTACAGCACTCGTGA